CTAGCCCCTTTGTTGAGGTTCCAGTAGGTGTGGACCGATATCCCCCATCTTCGAATTTGAACTAAGTTTGGAAGAAATACTAAGATGGGCAAATTTGGATGAAATCTAAATATTCTGAAACGGATTTGGTCCAAAGAAACATGGGGTCTAGAACCAATATATCGATGAGGCACATTTTCACCGTGTTAAAGTGTATACACCCTCATTAGCCATAAGGCTGAGGGTATAATTATCCAATAAAAATTCCTGAAATTTGTATTATGGTTTACATAATCCCTGTTTAAAAATGTCGGTATAGGTCCACTTTTTGGTATGTTCCGTATATTTTCATTTCTAGTACCTGTCAGTATATCTATGGTGGAGGGTATCCGAAGTTCGTCCCGGCCGAACTTACCGCTTTTTCATTTGTTTTGTTTAATTTCGCGCTTTTTGAAGATCTTAAAAAATATGCTTTCCAAAATTTACGCTTGTTGGGGATCTTAAGAAGATTTTTATAAATCAAAATTTGTTGTGGATCGTCAAAAAATATATATTTCTTAAATCCATGGAACTTAAGGAACAAAATCTACGTCTTTGGAGGTTCTTAAAAAAATAATTTTTTTAAATCACGCCTGTAAAGAAGGTCTTTAAAACATATTTATAAAAATCCAAACCTATGAATCCACGCCTGTGGAGGTTCTTAAAAATATTTGTTTAAGAAAATCCACGCCTGTGGAGGTCCTTAAAAATATTTGTTTAAGAAAATCCACGCCTGTGGAGGTCCTTAAAAATATTTGTTTAAGAAAATCCACGCCTGTGGAGGTCCTTAAAAATATTTGTTTAAGAAAATCCACGCCTGTGGAGGTCCTTAAAAATATTTGTTTAAGAAAATCCACGCCTGTGGAGGTCCTTAAAAATATTTGTTTAAGAAAATCCACGCCTGTGGAGGTCCTTAAAAATATTTGTTTAAGAAAATCCACTCCTGTGGAGGTCCTTAAAAATATTTTCTAAGATAATCCACGCCTGTGGAGGTCCTTTAAAATATTTTTTTTTTAAAATCCACGCCTGTCGATGTCCTTAAAAATATTTTTTAAGAAAATCCACGCCTGTGGAGGTGCTTAAAAATATGTTTTAAGGAAATTATAAAATTACTATTTTTCTCACACCACTGTAAAATCCAGAACAACAACAAAACGAAATGATGGCTCATCTCTGTTTTCCTTTAAGATTTTTTTATTAAAGATTTGTACTACAAATTTTTGTTGTTGTTTCATTTTTATTCGTTAATCGGAAAATTTTCTAAGAATATTAACATGCTGGTAATGCTGCTGACATCTAAAAACCACCACCGAACAAACATATTTCCCCCTTTGCTTTGGAGTTCGGGATGATTATTATTATGATGGTGCAGCAGCAACAATCTCTGTTAACGATTTTTTTTCGCCACACATTCTTAAAAAACAGAACTACAACAAATTTCTACATTTTGATCTTTGGAGAAAAATATAACTCGTTCTCGCTCTTTTTGTTGTTGCTGCTGCTTCCACATAAGATTTTCCTGAAAAAACCGAACGAACTATCTCAGCTGTCAAATCAATCTACATATTTATACAGTGTTGCACACTCATTGTTGTTTGTTGCTGTTGTTGTTCTTGTGTCCATTTGCTGATGTCTGATTTTTTCCAACTGTTGGTTTTGTTTTTTTGGTTTCTCATTTTTTGGGGACCTGCCTGTCTGTCTGTCCTTTTTCGTTTGTAATTTTTATGTGATGATGGTTTGTCTTGTCTTGTTTATGTATCTGCGGACAGTATCTGTTGTTCGTTCGGTTGTTGGAATGGACTCTCTGACAGGCCTATAGTTTGCGCTGCTATGCATGTTTGTCGCCAAAAACGAAAAAAAAAACGACTATCACTTATCAGATGTCAAAAGGAAAACACACACACAAATACCTAATCATACACACATAATTGAAAGGTGAAATTCTACATATTTTAATTTTGGACAGATTTTCTATGTAATTAATATAAATTTGTTGTAATTATGGGACAACTAAGAAAATATGAGAGTTTAAAAATTTACTCGGATCTGAAAATATTACTAATTTACCTATTTTTTAATTTACCTAAAAACGCAAATCAGAACCGCTTTTAAAGGAAATTGCCAGATATTGATTTATATTAATGTCATTACATTGTACAAAATTTGTGCCAATCGGAAGAACTTTGGGTCTTTAGTGCACCATTTACATTAAATCGGAAGAAAATATATATGGGAGCTATATCTAAATCTGAACCGATTTTCACGAAACTTAGCACACTTAATTTTAGACTCAATGCAGCAAGCTGTGCTAAATTTCGTGCAAATCGAAAGAAATATAGGGGCTTGGATACACCATTTACCTCAAATCGGACGAAAATATATATTTGAGCTTTATCTAAATGTGAACCGATTTGCACGAAATTTAACACACATCATTGTAGACTATATTCAGTACGCTGTGCCAAATTTCGTGCAAATCCAAGAAGATATGGGTCTTGGTGCGCCATTATTATTAAATCGGACGAAAATATATATATAGGAGCTATATCTAAATCTGAACCAATTTTCACGAAACTTAGCACACATAATTTTAGACTCAATGAAGTACGCTATACCAAATTTCGTACGAATCCAAAGAAATATAGGGACTTTGGTGAACTATTTACATAAAATCGGACGAAAATATATATATGGGAGCTATATCTAAATCTCAACCGATTTTCAGGAAACTTAACACACATCATACTAGACCTAATTCAGTACGCTGTGTTAAATTTCGTGCAAATCCATGGAATATGGGGGCTTTGACGCGCCATTTACATAAAATCGGAAGAAAATGTATATGGCAGCTATATCTAACTCTCAAAGATAGATATAGGGACTTTGGTACACCATAATCAAATAAGTGACATATGCCAAATTTCTCGACTAGCTGAGTCGATCTAGACATGTGTGTCCGTCTGTCCATTATTTAAACACGATACAGGCCACAGTTATGGACCAATCTTCACGAAATTTTGCATGTAGGATGGATTCTGCCCAATGAAGACCCTTATTGTTTTTGGTAAAGATCGATTAATTTTTAGGTGATGAAATGGACCAAATATTTAATTTTTGTCCGTTTTTCTGGTTGCTCCAGAGGTCGCTATTATGGCCCGAACATCGTGAAATTTTACATGCAGAAGAGGATTGGGCTGAAGAATAAGCATGCCTGTTTTGACAAATGTTGGTCAATTTTTAGCAGACCCCGACTTTTGTATGAAAAAGTACAAAATTTGTATTCTATAGCGTATAGATTTACCCCTAAAGGACATAGACCCGAGAAGTTAATAATATATCCTAGAGTAGTGGTTGACCTTTAAATTGATACCAATTATATTGTCGTATGTAATCGGATGTAGGAGTTACACGTAAATATTTACAGGTGCTTACGTATTCAGGTATTTTTTAGTAAACCATTACAAAACTGGAGGGCGGAAATATAGCGCTGATTGCTTTGAAATGTTCCATGAGGTTCCAGTTATGGTCAAGGACAACGCCTATAATTTTCGGTGATGATCAGATAATAATTTTAGGATGAAGTGGACCGAAAACTTAATATTTTTTGTGTTTTTTTTAGTCGATCTATAGCCCGCAATTACAAGCCGAACATCACAACACAACCCACGGTGAAGGGAATATGGACAAGTAATGAGAAGGACTGTACTGAATATTAATAATAATATTTGTTGACCTCTAGTCGGTCAAGAGGGCGAAGTATTGCCCAAGCTCAAAATGTAGTATCACAGAAAGTTAGATTTTCGTGGAAGTTGTGTAGGGTATCATATGGTCGGCCCCGTCCGACTATACTGCTCCGCTCACTAGTTATTATTTTAAATATCCATAATTGATAAAGTCCTTGAAAAAAAAATTGTAAATTTTTTGTTTTTGTAAAATCGAGAGATGAGAATTGCCTAAAAAATATCTTAAAAAAGGTTTTGAGAAATCTCTTAAAAATCCTGTTGTAGAAAGTCCTTGAAATTTTTTTTAATCCGGACTGGAAGAAGTACTTTAAAAATAATTTTAAAAAGTCCAGTCTTGAGGAAGTCCTTTGAAAAAATATAAAAAATCCGACCTTCGGAAAATAGTTAAAAATATTTTTTAAATATACGTTTAAAATAAGTCCTGGTAAATTATTTTTTTTTTTTTTTTGATTTCTTTGTCCTAGCATATTTACTTTTTGCCCTAGAAAACAAAATTTGATATCTATACATATGATATCCTTGAAAAAATATTTGGAAAATAATACAAGCTTATGATATCCTTCAAAGAAATATTAAAAAAGAAGGCTTCAATTTAGTTTTCAAATTCACGTTTCTGCAATTTTTTTAATTTAATTAGACCACCCGGCTCTGCTCCCTCTGCCTGTTATTACTAAACAATGAGATACAAATTAGAATTTCAATTAGATTTTTGTTTGTTGTAATACAACAAACAATGGCAACATCATTAATCACGAAATGTTTGTTTTCCAAAAAAAAAAAAAAAAAAAAAAAACAGCAACATAAAATGTAATGACAAACTTGGCAATGTCATGATGAATTTAATCATGTTTTCAGTTTTAAACATTAGTTGGCTGTTTGTGGTTTTAACAACTTCGAATGAAGAGACAAATGACAAAAACACAACATAAGTTTAATTATGATGGCAAACAATTTTTATTCTATCGAAACCTCAAGAAACATTCTCATGGATTATTATCGAGAAAATTGTTGTTCTTGTGTGTAATCCCTAGGGAGGGAAGAGGGGGACTTTACTTAGAGGAGTATGTGTTATTATTGCATGTGTTGATATGCAAATGCGTTACTTTAAACATGTTTTCTTATTTTCAACGATTTTTTTTTCATTTTGGTTATAGGTTCTATTGTTGTTGTTGCTGCTGTTCTCTATGAATGATAATAACCGATTTTCTTTAACGCAATATTGGTTGCGAAAAAAATTACCTTTCTCGTTTTTGGTGTTAAGCGTTGTTATTGTCATTTAGTGTTGAAAGTTATAAACGATATGACTGTGCACAATGGGTTGTTTTCATGCACAATTTTTAATCTGGTGTTATGCCCTCACCACACTGTGGTACAGGGTACTATGTCTTTGTGCATATGTTTGTAACAGGCAAAAGGAAACGAGATAGACACATGGTTCCTTTTGAGAACATGCATAGAATCACTTTCTATGTCGATTTATGCATGTCAGTCCGGTCCGTCCGTCTGTCTGTCTGTCCATGTTAAATTGTAAACAAAGTACGCATTTATGATCCGAATTTGATGAAATTTGGCACAGCTATTTTATTTGGCCCAAGAACGAACCATATTGAAATTGGGCAAAATCTGTTTGATTTAGATATAGCTCCCATAATATTTTCGTCCAATTTAATGTAAATGGTGCACCAAAGTTCCCATATATCTTCCGATTTGCACGAAATTTTGCATAGCATACTAAATTGAGTCTGTATTGATGTGCGAAAAATTTCTTGAAAATCGGTTCAGATTTAGATATAGCTCTCATATATATGTTCGTTCGATTTAATGTAAATGGTGCATCAAAGTCCCTATATATCTTCCGATTTGCACGAAATTTGACCTAGCATACTGAATTGAGTCTGGAATGATGTGTGTAAAATTTCTTGAAAATCGGTTCAGATTTATATATAGCTCCCATATATATATATTCGTCCGATTTAATGTAAATGGTGCACCAAAGTCCCTATATAACTTCCGACTTGCACGAAATTTGGCATAGCATACTGAATTGAGTCTAGAATGATGTGTGTAAAATTTCTTGAAAATCGGTTCAGATTTATATCTAGCTCTCAGATATATTTTCGTCCGATTTTAGGTAAATAGTCTACTAAAGACCCTAGAAATCTTTCGATTTGCACGAAATTTGGCATAGCGTACTGAATTAAGTCTAGAAAGATGTGTGCTAAATTTCGTGAAAATCTGTTAAGATTTAGATATAGCTTCCATATATATTTTCGTCCGATTCTATGTAAATGGTCCTACAAAGTCCTTAATATACCCTTCGATTTGCACGAAATTTGGCATAGTGAACTGAATTGAATCTGGAATGATGTGTGCAGAATTTCTTGAAAATCGGTTCAGATTTAGCTATAGCTCTCATATATATTTTCGTCCGATTTAATGTAAATGGTGCACCAAAGTCCCTATATATCCTTCGATTTGCATGAACTTTGCTTTCCTTATTGTTTTTTTATAAACAATTTAAAATTTAAATATATCCCTCACCGAGCGAAATATGAAAAATTTTCGTAGAACAACTATCAGAAATAAAAAATTAGAATTTTTCAGGAGTATTTTTTGCAGCTCAATAGGGTCCATTTAGGATTGGAAATTTTAAAGGATGCTATCTTCAATTTTTTCGGATCCTATCTACCTTATAAAAAGTTGAAATTATGACCCATTGTGCCATCTTTATAACCCATTGAAGTTGGACTCCATAATTGCCGGAGTGATTTCGAGTGTTATTGGCGGTGTGTGTGTGTGATATGCCGCTTGGAAACCCGCAAAATGACTGCAAGTGCGAATGTGAAATGCAATTGGAATTGCCAGGCTACATATGGCCCAACCAAACAGTCATTTCAACAATTTCCCCCCAACCCCTTTCCCCCAACCATTCACCGAACCACCAGCCTCGGTAGTGGTAGTGGCAGTTAGCAAGTGCAAAATGGTCAATTTGATTTTAGATTATTAAGTCATTTATAACAACAGCCTACACACATATATAACAATTTAGATTGCATTTTATAATAATATATACGTATGTATGTTTATACGAATGTGTGTTTAAACTGCAAATATATTTGTATACGACTGTGTTTAATATAGACTTTGTTAGTTGCGATATGAACAAGGTAATACATACATACAAACATAACATGCATTTGAGCCATGTTTGTATGTATGGTGTGTGTGTGTGTATTTTACACTTTAATGGCATGTTAATGGTTTTGAAAACATAATTCCGATAAAACTTTGGTGGTAACAGCAGCAGCGACAGCAGCAGCACCAGCAACTACAACAAAAACTAGATTGTCTCTTGAACATGCCATCGTCGTCATGGCAAACATTTAGTAACAGTGGCATCTATAATCAGACAATGGCAGCAACAACAACATCAGGATATCTGTCGCTCTTTGTTGTTGTTATTTTTATATGTGAATTGCATCTATGACATGACATACCGATTTGTGGAAAATTTGAGTTGTTATTCTTTATTTATTCCGATTGACCAATAATTTTGAAAACTGTGGAAATTTGATATAATAGGACTTTTTGAAATAATGGCAGGGATTTTTTACGAATGGGTTGAGATTTGTTAAAAACGTGCAAGGACAAATGCGAACATGATTTTTAAAAGTTGGGGGTTTTCAAAGACAAAGACATTTAGAAAATTATTGATTTTTATACCCTACACAACTATGTTGTCAGGGTATTATCAGGGTATTATAGCTTTGTGCAGCCTCAAGAGTTTGTAACCCTGCGAAATATTGGTCCTACACCCACCTTTAAGTATATTGGTCGTCATATCTCGATCTAGACATGTGTGTCCGTCCGTCTGTCCATTATAATTTGTAAACACGATACAGATCACAGTTATGGGCCAATCTTCACGAAATTTTGCCTGTAGGATGAGTTCTGGCCAATGAAGACCCCTATTTTTGGTAAATTTAGGGGATGAAATGGACTAATTATGGCCCGAACATCGTGAAGTTGATCGGGCCTGCCTGTTTTAATAAAGATCGGTCAATATTTAGCGGGTCAAATGAACCCTGACTTTTGTATGAAAAATTAAAAAAATTGTATTCTATGGCGTATATATTTTCCCCTGAAGAACATAGACCCGAGAAATTGCCAGTATATCCAAGAGGAGTGGTTGACCTTTAAATTGATACCAATTAGATTGTCTTATGTTCTCGGATGTGGGAGTTACACGCAAATATTTATAGGTGTTTACGTGTTCAGATATTATTTAGTAATCCATTACCACACTAGAGGGCGAAAATATACCGCTGATCGCTTTGAAATTTTCCATGAGTATCCACGTTTTGTCAAGGACAACGCCTATAATTTTCGGTGATGATCAGATAGTAATATTGGGATGAAGTGGACCGAGAACTTAATTTTTTGTATCTTTTTCGAGTCGATGAAAGCCGAACATCACAACACATCCCTCGGTGAAGGGAATCTGGAATATTTGTTGACCTCTAGTCGGCCAAGAGGATGAAAATATCGCGAAATATTGCCCAAGCTCGTGGAAGTTGTGTAGGGTATCATATGGTCGGTCGGACTATACTGATCCGCAGACAAGGTTTTAAAAAATATTTTATTCAATAACTTCGATTTTTTAATATCTTTAAACAAATATTATTTTTCAAAGAGGTGGATTTTTTTTTAACTTTTTTGTGACAAAACCAATGTGCATTTTTATACAGTGGTACAGGGCAGGGACGTACGCAGGGGGGCGGCCCTGGGGGCCCGGGCCCCCCCCGAAATGAATTTTTTTTCACAGTAAATTAATGTTTGCAACAGCGATTTTTTTCATTTTGTACTACCGGGCCCCCCCGAAATGAAATCCTGTGTACGTTGCTGGTACAGGGTATTATGTCTTTGTGCATATGTTTGTAGCAGGCAAAAGGAAACGAGATAGATACATGGTACCTTTTGAGAATATGCATAGAATCACTTTCTGAGTCGATTTATGCATGTCCGTTCGTCCATCTGTTGGTGTTAAACAGATGGTCGCATTTATAATCCGATTTGGATGAAATTTGGTTCAGCTCATTTGTTTGGCCCAATAGCGAACCCCATTGAAATTGGAGAAAATCGGTTCAGATTTAGATATAGCTCCCATATATATTTTCGTCCGATTTTATGTAAATGGTGTACCAAAGTCTCTATATATCTTTCGATTTGCACGAAATTTGGCACAGCGTACGGAATTAAGTCTTAAATGATGTGTAAAAATCGGTTCAGATTTAGATATAGCTCCCATATATATTTTCGTCAGATTTTAACTGCACTGCATCTAGAATGATGTGGATGATACCACCACATGTCCAACATGAGAAGGACATCCACATAAGCCATTTGAGGCCTGTTGTGCGCTCTAGAAATGCGGAGAAAGTCAAGTCAAGAATTAGTGAAAGTTTATATTAAAAACATTTGAAAACATTTGGGTTCGATTCCCCTATGAATCTAGGAATTCCGTGTTTCTTGCGAACTCCTTCAATCTTTTGCATTCACACCCCCTCAAATCGGTTAGTCCGTGAGGAGTGTAATTTCCCATGAATTGTCTCCGAAGGCATGTGGCAATGGCACAGGAAATGTTCCAGCGTTTCATTGTCTTCCGCACACTCTCTGCACATGCTACTACCTTCGCATCCAATCTTGAGTAGATGAGCTGTCCCGTCAGAATACCCGTCAGTCGGCTTATTTCTTTTTTGTTTCGCTTTAGGATTTGCTTAGCTTTGTCTTCATTTGGGTCGCCCCCATAAGATTTTGGTGATTTTTCCTGTCCCCTCATTTTACCAAAGGGTGTTGTGGGCCTCATTCGCTTATTCCCTCATTTCTTGGCGTGTTTCGCTAAAGGGTTTGGCGGTATTCACATCTATTGTGGGTAGTGCAGTAGCACTCCTGGCTAGTTGATTTGCTATCTCGTTGCCTATGATTCCTTGGTGACCCGGTACCCATATAATTCATACAGGTCCTTGTTGTGAGAAATCATTAATGGTATTTATACATTCCAGTACAGTTTTGGATTTAACAGTTTTGAAAGATATTGCCTTTATAGCTTGAATGCTGTCCGTAATAATATTTATTGTATTTTGTACTTGGTTTCAAATTAACCAGTTAAGACACTCTGTTATAGCTTGAACCTCCGCCTGTAAGATCGTGCTGTGATCTGTAAGACGAAGAGAAATTTCGGTACCCGGTTCTTTGATAAAAAACCTCCCAGTCCAG